CAGACCCACACGTACATAAGTACACAGCGTAAGATACATGATTCGCATTGAGTAAGATTGAAAATAAGCCAACACTCAAGCTGGAATAAGCCTAAAAGTATCCAGGCCACTCCATTTTAGTGCCGCTTTTGCATCGCCATATAATTCAAGTCGTCTTGTGAAAACGGAGAAAACGCTACGCAATCTTTCCGTTATGATTTCACCCCCCTTCATATTTTCTCGTAAATTCCACGCGTATGCAGAAAATTCCGACCGAACTAAAGTGAGCAAAAATAAAAAATACATAACCTTCAACTTTTTTTTCAGATCTGAATGAATGTGTGCGTATCATTGTGGGCATCAGCATTATCTTCATTAGTTATTTTTTATAAAACATGTCTGTGAATATATCTAGAAGGTAGCGTGCATAAATTAAGACATCATATTAGCTGTATTGTTTTAACGCCTCAAAACCACCATGTGAGATTGACAGATGTCGTAGTGGATAGCTCCGGAAATTTCGACCACGTGGGATTATTTCATGTGCATATACCACCATCAGTCAAGAACTTTAATATATGGTCCTGAGGAGTTTAAGCCACCAGGGTGCCCACGTGGGACATCCTAGCAGCCGCTACCGTAGGCGACGCCCGAGTCGGGGCGGGAACGTGGTGGCGTTCCGCCAGTTCTTGGGCCCTCTGGACTGCCTTAAGTTGGTTTCGGAGATTGGGGCTCCTGAGTGCCTCCTCCCAGTCGGACTCACTGGTGAGAGGTCCCTGAGGTAACGCGGGACATTGCCAGAGCATGTGCGCGAGTGAACAGTACACTTCTGTGCAATCTGGGCACTGTGAATTTATGTCTGAGTTATAATGGCTGAGTCGGCCCCGTGATGGGTACGATCTCGTTTGTAACATTCTAAAGGCTACTTCTTGCGCGCGTTCTAGTTTTGAATGGGGTAAAGGGTATCGGCTTCTGTTGTGTCGGTAGTGGGAGGTAATTTCATGGAAGGTGAGTAGTGGGTCATTAAACTGCACGTCTGGGCCCAGCTCTTCGGTGGCTGATTGATCGTCACGGCGGGTCAGTTCTCGTGCTCGATCATGAGCCATTTCGTTGAGGTTGGGTTGTTGTGGGTGAACGTCTTTGCCCATGTGGGCAGGGAACCAAGAGAGGTAGTGCGAGCCCGTATATTTCCGTGTTTGTAAAATGCGGGCTGCTTCTGGAGCGATGTTGCCGGTTTCGTAAGCCCGAATGGCGGCGCGAGAGTCTGTGAAGACATTAGTGAGTGAGGGGTCGGTCATCGCTAAAGCTATAGCAACTTGTTCGGCTATGGCGCTTGTTGATAGCCTAACCGAGGCGGCTGAGCGTAGGGCTCCGTCGCCATCTACTACCGCGAGTGCGAAAGAGGAGGAGTTACCGTATTGCGCTGCGTCGACGAATGCGGTAGAGTTGCGATTCGCGGCGGTACGGTTTAGGATCGCGCGAGCGCGGGCCAGCCGTCTGCCTTCGTTGTGTTGTGGGTGGACATTTCGCGGAAATGGGGTTACCATGTAAGTAGCTCGGACAACTCTGGGGAGGGTTACTGCGCGTTCAAGGCAGGGGTGTGGGGACATGCCGGCCTCGCTTAGAAGTCGGCGGCCTGCCTTGGAGGAGGAGAGGCGGATCACTTGGGCCGTGGTCTGGGCCTCGATCACTTCATCGATGCCGTTGTGCATGCCTAGTTGGTCGAGACGGGAAGTGCTCGTGTTTTGAGGCAAACCAAGGACTTGTTTAATGCTTTTGCGCATGAGTGTGTTTAGTTTCGTCTTTTCTACCTTCGTCCAGTTGTGGGCAGAGGCGACGTAATTGATGTGACTCATTAGGAACGCGTGGTATATGCGCAGAAGGTTGGCCTCTCCAAGGCCTCGTCTACGACCCGAGACTCGCTGAATGAGTCGGAGCATGTTCTCTGTTTTTGCTGTGATATGTTTAATTGTTCTTGCATGACAGCCAGTGGCCTCGACGAGGAGGCCGAGAATGCGTATGGAGTCCACTCGGGGTATTCGCTGCCCATCTTTGGCGTGTAGCGCTATGGGTAGATCACCTAAGGGTGTTAAGTTACGAACGCCTTGGCGAGATTGCCGGTACAGTAGCAACTCTGATTTTGTGGGCGACAAACGAAGTCCAGTGTTTTTTAAGTAGGCTTCTGTGGTATCGAGAGCAGTTTGAAGGGCTTGCTCCAACTCCGCCAATGAGCCTCCTGGGCACCAGATGGTGATGTCATCTGCGTATATAGCATGGTTTATGTTTGGGATGTCGCGGAGTTTGTCAGATAGTCCCTTCATTACTATGTTAAAAAGGAGTGGAGAAATGACTGCCCCTTGTGGTGTCCCGTTGGAACCTAATGTGTAAGTATCGGATGTAAGTTGCGATAAATGCAGCTGAGCTGTTCGATTTTGCAGAAAAGAACGAATGTACGCCTGGAATCTTTTACCGAGACCAAGGCTAGCAATGGATTCCAGTATAAAGCGGTGTGAGACGCTGTCGAATGCTTTAGTGAGGTCTAGGGCGAGAATGCCACGAACATCTCTCGTTTTTGAGTCGAAGATCTGTTTCTTTAGTAATAGCATGACGTCTTGTGTTGAAAGGTGCGGACGGAACCCGACCATGTTGAACGGAAAGAGTTCGTGATCCTCTATGTAGCGCGATACACGATTTAGGATGACATGTTCAGCTGCTTTTCCTATGCATGAGGTTAGGGAAATCGGGCGTAGATTGTCGAAGTTGAGTGGTTTACCTGGCTTTGAGAGAAGGATTACCGTGGCCGTGCGCCATTGTTCAGGTACCTGGCCAGTTTCCCACATGTAATTAATGTCTTTTGTGAGTAGTGTGATGGCTTGGTCGTCTAAATTTCGCAACAGGCGGTTGGTTACCTTGTCAGGACCGGGGGCTGATCTGCTGTTGAGGTTGTGTAATGCCTCCCGAATTTCTGACTCCGTGAAGGGTTCGTCGAGTTCGGGTATCGTTTCGCATTCTATTTCTGGGTAGTCGGTGGGTTGTGCTGTGTTTAAGGGGAGGTGACGTTTGGAGATTTCTTCAAGAAAGGATGAGTTTGTTCCTCCCATCTTTTGTGCGAGTGTAGGAGCCGGTCTATGGCATGACTCTGGTTGTTTTTTGTTTCGCAGTCGTCCAGCATGTATTTTAGGAGGTTCCATTTACCCCCAGTTCGCATGCGGCCGTCGACCGCCGAGCAGAGTTCATGCCATTGGAGTCGTGTGAGCTCCGTGCAATATTTGGCAATGTCTTGGTTCAGTATTGATAGACGTTTTCGTAAGCGTCTGTTTAGTCGTTGTGTTTTCCAGCGCGCGAGTATTGACGCTTTTGCCTCGAGCAAATGTGCGAGGTGTGGGTCCATTCTCGGGACCTCGAGTTCTGTTTGTATTGTTTTCGTTGTTTTGGCTATGTCTTCCTGAAGTGAGGTGAGTAGTTCGATGAATGTGTTGTATTCCTTTGTGTTGTTTTTGCGGAGGGTGCGGAAGGCATCCCAGTCCGTCAGCGTGAATGTACGGGGTGGGGCTGATGCGTTGGGTAGTTCGGTTCGTATGATGAAGTGATCGCTGCCCAGATTTTCCTGCGTATTGGTCCAGGTGTGGCCTGTGACGTTACGGGTAAATACCAAGTCCGGCGTAGTGTCGCGTTGTACCGATGTTCCAAGTCTCGTAGGGAATCGGTGATCTGTGATGAGTGTGAGGGACAAGTCGTCAATTGCTCGCGTGAGGTTAGTGCCTTTAGCCGTTGCCTGGGGGTAACCCCATGACGGGTGGGGGGCATTGAAGTCGCCTGCTATAACAAGCGGAGAGTTTCGCGCGAGCGTTGTGGCTTTAGTTAAGAGCGCGTGGAAGGACTGTCTGTAGTCTGACGGGGAGCTGTAAACGTTAAGGATAAAAACGCTTTGTTTTAAAAAACGGTTTGGTACGAGTTCGACGAGTATCGCTTCCAGGCGGCTGCGGGTGGGTAATACCTCATGTACTATGTGAGCAAATTTCTTGCTAATCAGCGTGGCTATACCTCTCTTGGTATCCCCTCGTTGTGAGATGGGGTGGTAACCCGATAATGTGAGAGTATCACAAAGGGTCTCCTGCAGTAATATTACATGAGGCTTCTTGGGTTGCGCTTTAATGTACTGCAGCAGTGGGGTTTTACGGGTCGCGAAGCTAGCGCAATTCCACTGCCAAATTTCTAACGTGTTTTGGGTTGTGGAAGCCATGATGATTACATTGAATTTGGTGGCCCAGGCAGATTTGCCGTAGGATCCACAGAAACTACTGTTCTGGCTTTGGTTTTAGCTTTTATGGTGGCTTTTTGCTCTAGTGCTTCCACCCGGCGTGACAGCGTGTCGATGTTATCGTGGTTTTCTCGCGTGAGACGTAAGATTTCGTTTAGAGTGTCTTCTGGTGAGTCGCTGTCATTCGTGTCCGCTTCGCGGAGTGGTGGGGCTCTGCGTTTAGGTTTGCTAACATCTACAGTGGATGAGGGGGGATCTTTAGGAGCTGTGAGAGTTTGTATTTGGTGCCTCGCCTCATTTAGTTGTGTGGTGAGCTGTTGTATGGTTGCCCGAAGACCTGCTAGTTCTTCTCGTAGAGTTGTAACTACCTCGCTTTCATGCTCTGGCAATGAGGGCCGCGTTACCTTTGTGACTGGCGGCGTGCTCCGTAGCGGTGGTTTCTTCCCTTGGACTCGGTCCGCCCATGTCAGCTCAGCCTGGCGAGATGGGGAGTGTCTCCTGGAGCGGGAGTGGCTGCGCTGGGCACTGCGACGTCTCGCTGTCGGTGTGAGGGAGCGGCTTCGCCTGGATGTCGCATAGGTGCTCGAGGTGGCGCTGGAATCGCGGGAGCTGGCTCCACTCGATCCTCGGGAGCGGCTACGACCGCGTCGACGGCGTCGGCGTCGTCGTTGGCGTACGATGTACGGAACTTGAAATTTACGTTTACAGTCCTTATCGGCAGTGGGGTGTGGTCCACCGCAGAGGGTGCAGTGGGGCTTACATTGGTGGTTTTCGGGTGGGGTTTTGAGTCCGCACTTTCGGCACCACGTTGTGTTAGGATTAGGGCAAACGTCTGCACGATGGCCGAGGCTGCCGCAGTTGTAACAAACTTCCGTGTGTCTGCGGAAAAGCGTGCATCGAACTATGCTCGCCCCGCAGTATACATAATTGGGAACTTGCATTCCTTGGAACAGGATGGTGACGGCTGTGGTGTTCTTGATGCGTTTCACCTCCAGGGCACTCGGGTTGCGCTTTGTGACGATCAGTTCTCGGAGCTGGGTATCGGTGAGGTCAATGTCAATGCCTCGGATGACGCCTTTGCACGTGTTGTCGGGTGGAGCCGGATATACAGCAACTCGGTACAGAGTGTCTCGCAGACGTAGTTGCTGTACCATGGTATAAGCTCGTGCGTTTCGTTCGATTGGGGTACACACTACAAAAATGTTCTGGGTGACATTTGGGCATATAGAGTCTTCCATGAGGTCTTGAGGAGCCAGGGCGGCGGCCATCGCCAGGGCTTGCTCAAACTGCACCGTGAAATACCACCATGAAATACATAATTTCCTGATCTGGTGACCGCTACTACCAATACCCTGGAATTTATTAGAGAGCCACAATCATCATCGCCACCTGTGATCTGCAAACTTGCATACGATACCTTTACACGCACTGAACAGGAATCCGCGGCGGCAATACGAAAACCACATCAAGCGTGCCTTGTTGACGTACTTGAAGCTGTCCAAAACCGCGCAGCGCGGTATGTTACATCACGGTACGACCATCAGCTAAGTGTCACACATATCAAATATTCCGTAGACATAAATCATTAGCACTTCGGTGAAAAACCTCTCGCTTATGCCTCTTTTATGTGCTCTATTACAACACTAACATGACATACTCTTTCCGCCAAACCACAGTTCGTGAAGCCTGTCTTAATCCCTCAGTCTTGAAAAACTTCTCGGCTCTACCAATTCATTCAACAACTCCTTGTCAATAGCCATTGCAGAATGAAATAGTTTACCTGACCGTGATGTAACTGAACGTGACCCATCGAATTTCGAGACGCACTGACAAGTTTATTCAGTGCTGATGCGTAATGGATTGAGATTTTTGTTTGTGTTTTCTTCTTTTTGAGCGCGCTATGCTTCACGTGTGTTTAACCTGTTTGGAGTTTCACCTGTGTCTTTGTAAATTGTATATTTGTTTTTTCTTGCTGTATTACTGACTGTTTGAACATTCCATTTGTCGTACGTGTGCTCCTTCCTTATGTATTACCCCACCAGTGGCCTTCAAGGGTTAATAAATGATGATAATGATATGACTTTCTGCTACCAAGAGTGACAAATAAAGATGCAATACAATTGAAGAAAATTCTTAAAAATGTTTTGGAATGAGTTGCAGATGTTTGTAACTTACAGTTGAACCTAATTACGAATTATGACTGATAATTACTAGAAATAGGCTACACAGAAATAAGCAATTTAGGAAGGTAGCAGGTTATTAGGAGGAATTTGACATGTGAAATGGAATATGCGAACAGATATCAGTGACAAACTCCCAACTTTCGAAGATTTTTCGATGTTTGACTTCTTCCCAATACCACCACAAGCGTCTTAGAGCCAATGTATGACGACGTTTGAAGTTTCCGGCACTCAAGCTCTTTGACGCGTTAACCTTTCACTAAAATCGTAAGTTTTAACAGAAGCCGCCACCGCTCATACACTGCAGTGAATTGCAAAATTTAGCTTTGCCGCAATGCTGTACCGCTATGCGGCAAAACTTAACGCAAATCCGTAGGGGCGCTAGGGTATGCGGGAGTTGCGGGCAGTTGTTCAGCCCCTTGTGTTTCTCGTTTTCTTCTCGTTAATCAAAAACCTCACATTCTACTCTCTTTCAGTACGGATAACAAACAGCGAGAAATCATTGTTTTAATGGATAATTTGGCATTCTATAGTCACTGTGAATCACTGGTCATTTAAACTAAAAAATGTACTAAAGTTGATGATGCAGCAGCTTTTAATTGTTATAAACAACGTATCTTTAAAGCCGGCCTAGTTATGAATGGCTGCAAACGTACTACGTGCCGAGCAGTTCGAGAGTAATCGAGAGTAAGCACTCACAGAGAACCCTGATCGTGGTGACATCTTCGACAGTAGCGTGGGGCAGGCGCTCGTTCAACGCTCGACACGTGATCTGGCGGCCGTCGTCCTCGACCGACGGAGTTAAAGTGAGCGTGCTGCTGGACGCAGGCCCGTCGGCAGCACCGCCGGCCTCGGTGGTGGTCGTGGTTGCGGCCAGTCGCTGGCTCCCTTTCCACCACGAGAGCTGAGCAGGTGGCCTCGAACCGGAGGCCACGCACCGCAGCTGGCCCGGGCGACCAGCTTCAAGCGAGTGCGCCGCACCCACGATGGACACGCTGGTAGGACCCACTGCGAGGCAACAACAGGGCAACACTTTCAAAGGACTGACCGTTTTCGTGACTAGCCGTGGACTTTGATGTTGCTAACTGACCTAACATTTGCTGAAAGCTGCCACGCAGACAGTCTCTTTCGGCAACTAAGGCTAGAACAGCCCTTACGCCACTCAATACATAAGCTGAAATGATAGATCTAAATACTTTGGGAATAGTTCAATGATTTCAGGTGCTGATGCAGCTGACGTTCACAACTTTTTGCGACTGCCCACGCAAGTCAGCTACCCTAGCAGAGATATAACCCCTGCAAACAAAGCAGCCTAAGTGACAGTTATAGCGACATCACACCATGTGCGCCTCCACGTCTAATCAGTTGCTTACACATTTGATTGACTGATTTGTGGGGTTTAGCGTCCCAAAACTACCATATGATTATGAGGGACGCCGTATTGGAGGGCTCCGGAAATTTCGTTCATCTGGGGTTGTTTAACGTGCACCCAAATCTGAGCACACCGGCCTACAACATTTCCGCCTTCATCGGAAATGCAGCCGCCGCAGCCGGGATTCGAACCCGCAACCTGCGGGTCAGCAGCCGAGTACTTTAGCCACTAGACCACCGCGGCGGGGCTTAAACATTTGTAGCTCGCCTCATTTGGCCCACACTTCGTCAGTATGCAGCGGTAAGGGAAGGCACAAGGGTCAATAAGTAAAGCGCTATCTAGGCAGTTTGATGAGAAGCCAAAAATGAGCGTGCCAGTGACACAAAACCTAGGTTGACTGTAAAAAAGACACGCGATTGCCTCATATCACTCATTCCAGGCTAATTGCATTTAGTTTGTACAATCACAATGTGCCTTGTCTTAAGCAGTTTTACTAGACTACCGGTAACTACTTTGAGCATTTGTACTGAAACAATTAGTCTCAGTAGTTCACTGATTTCAGCCGCCGCAGTCCCCCTGTGGTTGCGATTCGCTGCTGCTGACCCAAAAAACACGCTTACAATCTGAGTCGCAGCGATTGCATTTCGGTGGTGAAGTGGTACAGGCTTTTGTACTCTGCGATGTCAGCGCACCCTGTAAAAAACCCGGCTGTGCGAGACTATCGACAGCCTACACTAAAAGCGCTTCTCGTAGCCTGAGTTGCATTCTTACGTTAAAAAATATGAGCAGCCAAGAAGGCGCCACACACTGAAACAACAGTAAAATGCTTCGCCTTTGGCGCGCGCTGATTAGATATCGAACAAATCAGAAGTGTCAGGGCACCATTTGGTATTTCAAACAACGACCCGCTGCAGTAGAGGATGCTCCTGACATGCCTGAAACACATATTACCAACATCGGTTGGTGGTAAAGTCTAGCATTTCAGGGATGTAAATGATAGCCTCTAATAATTAATTTTTCATGAATGTGCGCAGCAATTTTACACTAAAGCATTCAGCCAGCATTTTATTGACTCAATTTTAGTACTTGGTATTTTGCGAACACGCGTTTTTCTTTATTTTGTGGGCTTGCATGTTCCTGAACATGAAACATGCGTTTCTCACATGGTTCATTGCACTCTGGCTACGTTCAGAGACGTTGAGGCGATGTTGCATCGGTACACTGGCTTGAATCTCTGAGAACGTCCCGCTAAATTCTCTACAAGCAGACATTTCAACGAAGCTATATTCTCTAAATGTCATGTGCGCAATATTATTTGCGCAAAAACGTTCAACAAACTTTCAACACGCCTTACATTTCAAGCAGCCACAGCCATACCTGGCCACTGCGTAGAAGACCCCTCAACACACGCTCAAAAACACCACACTCGGGCCGTTCGGCGCTTGTAAGGAACGTTCATTCCTGTGTTGTGAGGCATTCATAAACCAACTACCACTTTAACAATGACGTCACGGGCCAGTAGTTGTTTTATTTGCGGAACACATCAGATTCTACGTCATGAAAGGTGATACTGACCAGACCCGTGCCCAGAAACATTTTTTTCCGTGGGGCGAAGGGGCTGGGGGGGGGGACGCTGGGACCCTCAGTGCTTTTTCCCCCAATTAGCTACAAGCCTGATACTGTTGCCTTTGGAGCGTTTACTAATATGGGCCCACTGCATATACTTTTTTCTTCAGTTACGGGAAATAAATTAACATCTCTGTTGCGAAACACATTTAGAGATAAAAGTTTACGTTGTTGATGACGCGTTGATATTTCACAATTTGCTTACCTCGGTTTCGAAACATTTCGGGTCACTGCTGCATGAAAGCTAGTCGGTTAGACATCTTTATATTTACTGCTACTTGGTGAACTGGCCGGTGACAATGGTCCTTTGACTCACATCAGCTATTTATTTATTTATTATTTATTTATTACATACTGCTGGCCTCATATGGAGGCCTTAGGCAGGAGTGGGGCATAAATATACAACACAGAAGAAGCTCGAAGCATTGAATATAACTGCACAAACAAAAAAGAAATACATGACTTGGTATTCTACAAATCAACGGCATTGGCAAAATATGTAAAAGCAACGAAAGGGAACCAATTGCACGGCAGTTAGTACTCGCATAGCACAAGGTACTCACAATAAGTATTTACATAGCAGAAAGCATTGCAGGTACTGACATTTTACTTACATAGCACAAAAAGTTAAAAGAAAAAAAGAAAAAAAAGAAAAAGAAAGTTGCACCATTTATTCGAACACAGCAAAGTGAAAGTTAATGCAAGTGAGTACATGGCTTTACATGACGCTTCGAGCATAGTGGCCAATAAAGAACTTCATTTCTGATCGCCTGCAGAAAAGAATCAATGTTGAAACGTTCTACCGCATGAGCAGATAAGGCGTTCCACTCGACGATTGTCAGAGGAAAGTAAGAGTACGTAAAAGTGTTTGTTTTGCACCTCAGCTCGGCCTCCTTTTTTGCGTGAAGATACCGAGTAAAGCGGCTAATGGCAGGTTTTATGAATGCGGATGAATCAACTCGTAGCATTTTCTGATAGAACAAATAAAATAACTTTAACCTGTCATGACAGCGCCTTGTTTCAAGTTTCTCTACTCCTGCTTTCTGTAGGAGATGGGACGGGGATGTTTTCCAACTATAAGTGTTATAAATGAACTTCACAGATTTTCTTTGGATACTTTACAGCTTTAGTTTATTAGAGGCTGTCCAGGGATTCTAGGCCGCTGCTGCATACTCCAATATGGGCCTAATAAACGCCCTGTAGGCTAATAGTTTTATTTCCCTTGTTGAGTGACCCAGCGTGCGCCGAAAATATCCCAGTTATCTGTTGGCTTTTTTAGCAATAAACGTTACAAGTTCATTCCAGCGCAAATCGGAAGTTATCATTACTCCTACATATTTATAGCTTTGCACTAAGCTTAAATTTGAAACCACCTAAACGTTTGTCGCGCATAAGTAGTAGTGTGAAGGTAGTTTCGGCTTACGTATGAGGTCGATGACGACTGATGCGCTGAGTGGCTCGGAGATGTTATTGTTCGATGCTCGGCAGACAAGTTGCGCGTGGAGGTCTCGGCGACCTAAGGGGCCGACGGCGAGCTGACTGGCCGCGTCGCCGGTGCCATCGCCAACCGGCACAAGCACGTCCTCCAGCCGATGGCCATCACGCCACCAGGAGAGGACAGCCGGAGGACGACCTGAGTGTGAGAGGTTATGCGTACATGAAGCGGTATGCTTAAGCCTACATAATCGACCATGGCGGGCAACATTGGTTAAGAGAGCAAAAGAGAGGGAGAGAGAATACGAGAAACATGGATAGGTAAACCTGACTATGTTCAGCTTACTACCCTCCAAGTGGCGAAGGCAACAAGGGCTCCAGTAGAGCGAGAGGGAAAAAAATAACTCACAACATAAGAACAGAAGGATGGATACTGAGAGCGTGGGCTGGCAGGTTATAAATGGGGCTTCGTGTTTTCGAATTAGCAAAAAAAGAACGTTCGGTGTGCACTACCCGGTGAAATTTTCGACATTTGCAACTCTTTAGGTAAGCTCCAATTTTAGATGGCTTTTTCAACATTCAAAGGGCAATTTCAAAATGGAGCGATATCAAATCTTTCGAAATCAGCGCACGTCTCACGGTGACAGCTGCCTCATATAGTAGGCTTGTGTCTGTTATACAAACCATTGGGGTTCTAGTAGAAAAACACGCAGGTGTTTTCTATTCAAATATTGCTTCGTGTGTGTATAAGCGTCGGTGCGTTCACACTTTCCAGACACCGAAAATACAACATGTGCGCAGGTTTCTCTGTTCAGATATCATTAGACCTTAAATTTTGGAGTAATAATAATAATAATAATAATAATAATAATAATAATATTTATAAGTCAACTTGTCATTCATAGAGAAAATTGGGGATGCTGGCAAATAACTTTTGCCAGATCCTGGTACGTGGCCGAAGGGTGAGAAACGAAAAGAAAAACAAATAATTGAGATGTAGCTTGACTAGCTTGAGCCCTCCAAAAGTACACTCTGGTGGGTCTACACAAGTGCATACAAAAAGCATTATTAACAGGAGAACTAAACAGAAAGTGAAAAACCATACAAGAAAGAATAAAAAGACACGATCATCTACAAGAATGTTGAGCGTTTTCAAATAAAACAATAAGAACACAACGAAACCGATCACACAGCCAAAAAACATCGAAAACCGGAAGATAAGGCATTTATGAGAAATTATCTCGGACTAACACCAAGCTTATTCCACAAAAAAAACTCAACAAAACAACCTTCGAATTTCAAGAAGAATAGACTCCGCAAACCCTGAGGCCCACTTACAAAGCAAAGAAGGCTACTCGAGCCATCCTGCAGTTCTCGAACAGAACGGGAGTGAGATACTTCTTGTGTTCCGGCTGCGGTTAAGCATTCAGTACTTGAAGCATTGTTCCACCCCTTAAACGTAATGCACCGCGAAAGGGATGATGAGCGAAAACAAGAAAAAAAAAGAAAAGAGCAGTGACTTCCGTCGTCACTCTTTCGCAGTCTCCCGGCAACGCTACGTCGAAGGTTATAGGGGAAAAAAACGCGTATTCAGCGCGGCAGGTGACTAAAAATGAGAGTACGGTGGCAGGGACACTCACTTCCCAACAGCGTAGTGAAAGTTCGAGTTCAAGGTCGGCTCTCCCAAGTGACAATTTTCCAACAGTAAACCTCAAGAAGACCATATTTTTTTTTCTTCAAAATTGTCACGGGGTCGTGAAGCCGACGAAGAGAGCAGACTGTAGTTAGAAGATCAAACTGTTCATCGGGTTGAGCTTGCGGCCGGTGAACGAAAAGCCAGCTTACAGCGATACAAAGAGCGGCGAACTGGGCGTCGGCCGTCGATCAAACTGACCAGTGATGACGCGCGTCGGCATCTAAACATGTGCCATCGAATGTTCCAGTGCTATCGCTGGCGGTGACGTAAGTTCAGGAATTATCTGTCATGTCCCCGTGTTGGGCCTAATCACATCGTAAGGTTTCATGATTATCGCGATGGTTTTTTAGTCAATGGGAGTAGCCGCGCCAACGCAGTTCATACACGTGTATTGCGGCGATAAAGAAATTTGAGAAATGAGCATGGCAATATCACATTTATCAAGAGGTAGTTTTTATCACTAGTTACCTTCTAAAAATTTTGAAGTGCTTTAAAAGTTTCAGGAACGAGAAAAACTTGCATGACGAACCAGTGCCACCACGCGTTTCCAAAGTCCGTTATACAAAGCAAACTCCCGAGCAGCAGCAGCATAATAATAATAATAATATTATTATTAATATTAAAAATAATAATAATAATAATTGTAAGAACAAAAAGATGAAGAATATCTGGGGTTTGACGTCGCAAACCAAGATATGATTATGAAAGACGCCATAGTGGGGGACTACAAAAAATTGACCATCTCGTGTGTTTTAACGTGCACTGACATCTCACAGTACACAGTCTTTTACCATTTTGCCTCTATCGAAAGGAGACCACTGCGGCAAGGATCAAAAACTTGCCACCTTGGAATGAGCAGAGGAGCACACCAGCAACTAATCCAACTAGGTGCACCCATGGCAGCAAAACTTAGTACGTGCTTAAATATTTATGGTTTCAGCAACAAGAGAAAACAAAACGTTTCACAAGTGTTCAAGTGATAATCCATCTCACAAACTGGTTGCAGTAAGAGATGACGCTGGGTGTATTATATACGCAAGCCAAATGCCTAGGCAGGAAAACAGTTCCAGATGTAGTTGCCTTATGAAGGCCCAGGTAAAGACAAGTGCATATTCTTTGAAGGATTACCACGTAGTCATTTTAAACAGGAGGCACTGAAACCACATAGAGTGCAGAAAGCTTTAGGGGAGAGGGGGAAGTGTCAACAAAATCAATCGCAAAGAAAAAAAAGACAGCTATTGCCTTCGAGTTGTGTAACGCAAAATACGTTAGGGGCCGTCGGACAAATATATAAACCAAAAGTGACGCAAATGAGCCTAATACATCGAGAGCGATTAATTTACCATTGCAGACAAGTCATAGGTATCTCATCTTTGTCAATACCACCTACAAATAAGAAAGCTAAGTAACGGCTTCAAAAGAGGACGTCGTGTCACGAATGTTTACTAATTCGATGCCATGAAAATCGAAGTGTGGTCGAATATTTGAGACAATTAGGCGCTAGTAATAAGAAGAATAGATTCGTAGGCAAAATAGGAAGGCTAGCTGGTACGTGGCATCATTATTACAGATCGAAAGACATGCTTCCCTGCTGCAGTAGCGTAGTAGTTGATTACGACGACGACGATCATTACTTGCAGGACATTACAGTCTCAGTGAAAATAACTGGGATTAGCAGCTTTCATGGCAGCACTCATGCAGACGTGACCACCTGCTTCGATCCAAATTCACGCTACTCGTCGACTGTCGTAACCGCAATGAATACATAAAGAAATCAGCTACCGCTTGTGGTCATTTCACACTGGGTAGAAAAGCCTCAGGTATGTCTTGGCAGAACGCTGTGCCTATGCGCGTTACAGCTAATCAACTGTTCAATATCGCACTATGAGTGGTTGTGCACCATTGTTGCCGTTACAACAATAAAAATTAGAACAAGGGTATAATTAAGGACATAAAAATAAGCATGTACAGTAAAAAAGGACACTAATAAGTAAATGTTTGACACTCGTCACCCACAACTTGAAGCTGACCAGATGCAATATCGAATATGTCATGGTATGGATCCTGCTTGAAACACCACGGCGCAATCAGTGGAAAAACAGTGTTTTTGTTTAGAATGTCTCTGGTAACCCCAGGCCCAGGCACCAGCAGTTCAAGATGTTGCTAGAGAGGGCCGTTGAATTAGCCGGTCCTTGGCAATTCGTCATAGTCGGGGACTTCAATGCCCCACATGGCTTATGGGGATACGTGTATGACACGAGAAAAGATCGAGACCTCTGAAAGGATGCCACCAAACTAGACCTTACCTTAATCGCCGATAAGGCTTTCCTTACGCGGATAGGCAACTCTGTGACGTGGGACACGACGCCACACCTCGCTTTCATCAATAATGTCGAAAATACTTACATGGGTCAACACCGTCATAGATTTTGGCAGCGACCACTACGTTCTGCAAACTTCTATCATAGTGGACCATAGCAGAGTTCAAGAGTTCACGGTGGTTGACTGCGATTTTTTTTGCGGCATTCGCGATGCAAGGGCCAGTGCTCCTGACAATATCGAGTAATGGTGCGAGTGCATCCGCAGAGATACCACCGCTACCACCAAGAAGATAAAGACATATTTAAATGTGGAGAAGATAGACAGTAGGCTTGCCAACCTGCTCAAACCCAAGGCAGCTATATTTTCTCGATGGAAGCAGCAGAGACACAACCGTAGGCTGCGGCAAAGAATGTTAAAGTCGAAGAAAGAAATCAAACAACGTTGCGACACACTGTGCAAACAACAGTGGGACGAGCTCTGTGAGTCTGTCGACGGTCAAATCAGAAATGGCAAGTCCTGACATCTTCTGAAGCATCTCTTGGACGAGCACAGCACTAGGGCCAACCAGAGACCCACTTTAGCCTGCGCTCTTCGCGAAGCCACCAAAGAACAGGGGGTTGTCGAACTCGTTACCCGATTAGTTTCCAAGTAGCTGCCGGTTGAATGAGAGGACGAAGACGGCGTGTTTCAAGAATATGGTAGCCCTCCTCTACCTGAACTAGAGGAAGACTTTTCAGGGGCTGAAATCAGGAGAGTGATACAAATGCTCAATCATAAGTCGGCAACAGGGCCAGACGGGAGCACTAACAGAGCCCTCAGAAACCTTGACGACGCATTCATAAAACGTCTAAGTGGTTTCATCAATGAAGCACCGAAAACGGGTAGGGTTCCTGAGGAATGGAAGCTAGCTGACACCGTACTGATTCCCAAGCCAAGAAAGTCTCCTAGCGCTGAGAATTTTTGCCCCATCTCCCTCACGTCGGGCGTGGGTAAGGTGGCAGTGCACGCGATTCTCAACAGACTTAACGACTACCTGACGAGAAATGAGATTTATACGCACAATATGAGCGGGTTTCGTACCGGCCTTTCAACGCAGGATGCAATGCTGCTCATTAAGCAGGAAGTCCTTGATGGATACTCTAGAGATAAAAAGGCTCTTCTTGCCCTAAATCTAGAGAAGG